CATTAATCCATGTTAAAATACATAGATCGTTGTCAGCACGAATATGGCACTTGTATATTTTTAAAGTCAATGGTAGCCACTGGAATGAAAGGATGCCGATTAGCTAGGAACATAATTTCATTTCCAGGGATGATTTTCAAAGCAATTTGTAACCCTTTCGGGGTCAGCGCTGCGAACGCCCAAGCGGCTACGTTCTCGCGTCCGCAGGACCCGCCCCTCGCGGCGGCTGGACCCGGGGATTGGCTGCGGAACCCGCCCGTCAGGCTGCTGGGCGGGGCGGCGGTCCGGGATCGCGTGGTCCGTCATAGCCACGCGCCGGCAGCAGGAGGCGGGGCTTGGCCCTGGCCTTGGCCCGCTGTCATGGCGGCCGTGGCGGAGTCCAGCGACTGCCCGGCCTATGCCTGCGACCCGGAGGTCGGCGCCGGCCCGACGGCCGGGGAGGCGCTGAGCGGCGCCCTTCGCTCCCTGGCCGAGCTGGCTGGGCAGGTCTGTGCGGGGCGGGGCCGGACCGGACCGGGCGAGTCTCGGTGGCTGCGCACCTTCCCCCTTCTCTCAGCGCTTGGCGGGGGCAGGGGGCGCTCCCCACTGGGGTTCCCCGGGTTCAGGTCGCCACTTCACGCCTCCCCGGGGCGGGGCCCTGCCGGGGTCGGTCGCTTGGTTCTCTGGCCGTGGGCGCCCTGGGTACGGCCGGCGCCCACCCGTTCTTCGGTCTTCTGCCGCCCGCGAGCGTGTTTCTGGGGGCCCTGCGGCCTCCTTTTATGGCAGCTGGATGTTAAAGGCTCGCGTGATGAGAAGCTCCCTTAAGGCAGCGCTTCTCAGCGTTTTCTGTACCAGGGCCTGTTTGTAAACGTCAGTGGCCCATCCTGACCCATTGCCCTCAGGCTCCAGCCACATAGTGTGTGGAGTAGGGGAGGCTGGCGCAACCCCTCGCAGGCTGGAGCTCTGTCTGCCTGCAAGGGAAAAGCCACAGTTTCCCACGTTTTTCTCCTTAAAAAAGGATTCTCCTTTAAAAGTTTGTTCCTGACCTTTTTTGTATATTCTTGTGACCCGCTTTTGGGTCACAACCCATGGGTTGAAAAATGCTGCTTTAAGGGACTGGGGGAGCCCTGGTCAGGATGCTATGGTTCCTGGAGAGGCAGGCTTGCTCGGTGCTCCTGGTGCCGTGCATCCCCAGTTCCATGAGCAGTGGAAACGTCCCTGGTATCCCCGCAGACGTGGGACTGCTCTTGTTTGTGAATTCAGGTGTTTTGCAGGGTCCCAAGATTGTAAGCAATGACTTAAGAGTAAGTGGAAAGAATGGAAAAACATGTGCAGCTTGGTGGCTGTTTTCTGTAGAACTCGGTCTCATCGGATATTGGTTCGCTCAGTTGTCTGCCAGTCTAACTCTCTGCAGTCTGACAATAACTTTTATTTTTTTGGTAGTTACACAGGCCGTACTTGTCAAGTGAAGCAGGTGCAACAGCTGCTTAGTATCTCTCAGGCCCTTAAACATTTTGGCCCTCCAATACTGAGGGACCCCAGCATTAAGAACCTGAAAACCTAAAGATTAAAGCCCACATTCTTTCAGTTTTCCTATTTATAAAATGAATAAGAACACTTGCCTACCTTTCCAACTGGAATTTTGTGAAGATTAGTTAGCATTTTGCTATTAGACATGCCTCCCAGCATCTGTACTAATTCTTTGTTAATTAAAGGAACTAAGTAGAGTGAAGAATTCCTGTTCTCTGGCCATCACAATGTGTCTCCTATTCTGAAATCACTTTTCTTCTTGTACTATGCAGTGCAACCAAAATATCAAATCTTTAAATTTATGTGAAAAACAAAAGATCAGCCACATGCCTAAATCTGGCACAATCTGTCCACCATCTTAAAAGAGAGATCCTAACTATACAGTTAGTCCAGTAAAAGATATAATCAGAAATCCCTTGCTCTTTGCCTATTTTCTGGATCACTATGGCTACAGCAACACTCCAAACTAGCTGAAAGGCTATTAACCATTTTAAAAACAGTAGTTTCTATTGCTGCTTCTAGCATTTCACCAGTTAGTCAAAGCCTGGCCATGTTGGTGCTGCATCTAGGATTCTGAACCTAGTGTTTTCACTATGGAGAAGTGAGTGAGGGGGCTTAACAGAATTTAGCCACAGTAATTTTATTTCATAACAAGGTGGTTCTAGTCTAAAACACAGTCTACTGTTGGGACACATAGGGATATCTTTTGTGATGGAGTGGCTTGCTTGTACTGTAAACTGCTGCAAAATAGACCATCAGCCAATGAAAATGTAGCAGCTGCAATAACTACTATCAAACACAAACATTACAGTCCACTTATCATACTGCTTACAGGTATAATTAAGGCAAATGAAACAGTAAATAGTAAGAAAAAATGTGTAAGGCTAGCGCACTAGTTTACACAAAAGTGTGGATTTATAGGGTTTGGCTTTGCTATAGGGACTATTCTTTACTCATAACTTAAAAGCTGCTTGAATAAACATGCCTCTTTAGCATTTTAAACTGCTAATCTCCAAGTTACTCCCATTCAGAAACCTTGCTAAATTTTCACATGTTGAAATATCTATATAGAAGCCAGAATGAAACATATAGTTGTTGCTTTATTTGCAGAAAAAAAGATTATCTGGGGAGCTTTGAGGGATGCATGTTTTTAATCTGTTGAATGCATGTCTTTACCACCACTGACAGGATAACGAAAATCATGAATAGTTTTCAAAACACTGTGTCCTTTTTGTGGAGTGGGGGAGATAGAACAGCTCAGGCTGTGTGCACATGTAGGTATGTGATTGGTAATGCTGGCTTAAAGAAATAAATAAAACTTCATTTTCTTGAGTAAATGAGGTATTCTAACATTAGCCTAGTTTCTAAAACGTGTTTCCCCCCCTGCTATCCAGGGTTTAGATTGAGAACTGAAAAAGAGGAAATCCTGTTGCTTGAGAGAGATTTATGATGTGTTATATGAACGTGAACAAAAAGATTGAAAGATTTAGCTTATGTTATGTGTTTTTAGTAGTTTGGTAAATAGCAAAAAGTTCTGTAAACTTGCTATTTAGGTCATTAGTTTTTCTGCCTTCATAAGAATTGTTAACCCTATCTACTTTCCTGCAAATTGACTTGTGGCCTGATCTTAAGCTTAATCCAGCCATTCTCCCTGCATAAAGAATGGAGGATCAGACTCCTTTCCAGATAGGAGTAGTATTAAGACAGTTCCAGTGCTTACCCAGTCATTTTAGTATTTTAATTGCTTTGCCTGCAAACTACTGCTAGCAGTCCTATATATTTACTTTATTTACATTTGAATCTCTTTCTGTATAGTGTGCTTTTAGATTTTTATCTTTCATATTTTAACCTTCAGATGTCTTCCCCTTTTAAAAAAAGATTTTGAATTCATCAAGAAGTAAATACATACCCATATTTGGTGCCATTAGACCAGTGTTTCCTAACCTTTTCCAGCCTAAGGCACACTTACATTAATAAACATTTTCCATGGCACACCTATTAAGGCATTCCCCATCCTCATGCCTATTGTAGCTCATTGCCATGGCAGAATTCTGCAGCACACCTGTTCATTTCTGACAGCGCACTGATTGGGAAACACTGCATTAGACAGACCCTGTTGTTAGAGTACATGTCAAAGGTGTGCTTTTTGGTGCTGTTTTGGCAGCCTGTGCATGGATTATTTTCTTGTTAAAACCCTAGAAGCTTGCCATACCTGTGAAAATTAGCCTAAAATCACAAATATGGGAGTGTGTATAGGGAATTCTGGGCACAGTTCTGAGAACAGCTGAGCATCCTGAATTCAAGTTGATTCAAGTAAGAGTTTACCTGAGCATAGGACAGTACACTAAATTTGGGGCAGCCTCCAGTGGCTTATTTGGTTGGGAAAAAGATCTGTTTGGCTTTGATAAGCATTGCAGATGTTTTTCACTTCTCAGGATCAAGTCTTGTGAGAGAAACAGTTAACTGCAATAGAAATGAGGTGTACATGAATGTGTATGCATATGATTAGCAATTATTAACAAAACACCTGGTAGTATAAGATGAAGGGGCTTTTTTGTAGTCCTTAAAAGTAAACTTTTGCATTTGGTGTGCACCTTTGTTTTTTAAAGGGAATGTTATTCATAGAGCATTGGTGTTTATGTACTTTGAGTCAATTGCATAGAAAGGAAAATTGTTTGTATTTTAAAGTTGGCTCTGTTGTGTGGGAAAGATTGTGTTGCATAGTCTGGGTTTTGCTTAACCTGGGAATTTGTTAAAGATTCACCTCCCACCCACCCGCAGTAGAAAATTTTAATTTACATTCTTCCTTAAGAATTGAAGGTGTGGTCTGGAAAAACACTTAGCACCCACAGCTCCTACAAGGAATTGTGACCATTGGCATGCCTTTGAATCAGGGGGATAATTTGACACTTCCTCCCCTCCCCCCATATTTTTGTTGTAACACTAGCAAGTCATAAACTATATGAAGACATTGTATTGGCTGTTTGGTGTTGCTTCTTTCTTCTCTCTGACCAGTTAAATAAAAATCAATAATAGTAAATATAGCCAAAATATTTTAGTGTAATTGTTGGTGTAACCTGATCTAATAGACTGGCTTAAGCTGGTAGAAGTTAAGAAGCTATTATGTTAATGCAATAGCAGTGCCATTGCTTAACCAAAGAATGTTTTTTTTAAATAGATTTTCTTCATATATTCACACTATATAGTAACTTATTTAGGGAATGACTGTTTGCTTTGTCTTCAGTTATAACTCTCATTTCAAACCTTTCCTCTTCCCTCAGATAAAAATGCAATCAGGGACAGAATTTTTGTTGTCCTGTACAAGTCCTGTATACTTCTGTGACATTCTTTAATACAGCGTAATGGTGTAATTTTTGTGATGATGCTTGTTTTGCCCTTTTGAAGCTTAACCTTGGAGATGATGTGGTGAAAATTGTAATTGATTGGAGCAAGCTTCAAAGCACATCAGCACTCCAGCCGACGTTGCTCTTTAGCGCACTTCAGCAACATATTTTATTTTTGCAGGTAAATATTTTATTGGATGTTTTAAACTTGGCCAGGGATCACCAATTAAATGTAGTTAGATTTATTTCTCTAAAACGTCAATTGTTTTGCTCTAGAATTGCTAAATTTAGAAAGAAGAAGATGCAAATATATTATACCTTTGGGATTCCACCACACTTCACAGGTACTCAAACTTGTTATCTTATAGAGTTATCAGAACAGTTATGGGAATAGCCTACCAGGCCGCTGTGGGTAAGGAGATTGAACAAATCCTTGTTGATTTCCTAGACTTGCATTGTAAATTCAGCACATTTTCCATCTATGGTGGGTTATAATTAAGCAATAAGACACGGCAGGTGTGTGTCATGCTATGATAATGATTCCATGCGTTGGGTGAGTTTTGAGGCACATGGAGTGCTTTCAGTGGTTCAAGAAGTGGCATTATCCCAGCATGACACATCCTGGAGTGTCGTAGTGCAATTAAACATATTTTCAGCATAGTTTTTTAGAAAGAGTAATTTCTTTGACATTAATGCCTCATCTTTGCCAAGTAGCCAGTCCCCATTACTGTCACTTTGGTTAACTATTTGAAACTTTCTGGCACTGTCAAAAGTAGTAGCTATAGTTGCATGTTGTGTGTGGTATAGTTTTAATAGTTTTTAATGTTTACCATTTAATAACTGTAGTGGTATTGATGGGTCGTGACACAACATTTATGAGGTGATGATGTGCATGCATCTGTTTTTTTAACTTTACATATTTTGTGACTCTATTGAATTTAAGGCAGCAGAGGGAAAAGAACTCATTACATTTGCTTGTCTGTATGTATAAGAAACAAGTCTTTTACTTTTGTAGGGAGGAGTTTCCATCAATTCAGCAAGCAAAAAGAATAAATGCAAAATTAAAAGCAAGTAAAAATGATGTGCAGTCTCCTGGCTATACCATACCCATTTCATTCCTTTTCAGGAAACCTGACTGGCAGAAATCCTGCCATTTTAGAAGTAGTAATTAGCTCTGGTTTTGTAGGGCAGAAATAAGGTATAAAATTCAGGTGAGACATTAACTGTAGAAAGGGAAAAATCTGGGGTATAATTTGTGTTTACCTATTATGCAGGAGTTATTTCAGTAGAATGATAACCATTTATTTTGTAGCTAAGAATCAGTTCCTTCTCATTTAATTTCATGACCTAAGTAGATAATCAGCCATATCAAGAAAAGCCTGTGTCCGAGATAACACCTATATATTCCATGTCTGTGTTCTCTCATACTCTTTGGGCAACTGCAGTTTCAAGTGGAGAATTTTGTGATGTGGTGGTAAAGTAAGGGCTTTACAGAGTGAGAGCACTGGCTTTCATGTTAAGGAGGAAAAATACTAAGCCTTAGTGTTCTGAGTAGGCATTTGAATGACATGTTAATTAAGTGGTATTGGTGCCAAAGACTGAAGCTGTGATTTGGCTTATAACAGATGAGTAACAGACTGATTTGCTCCTAGATTTTGGGTTTCATACTACACATGCACACGCACATAAAAAGCCAGATCACAAGGATCTAAAATATGTGTATATCAGTATTTAGAAGTGCTGTACTTTTAGTTGGTCTTACAGTGAATTGTAAATTGATATTGTGTGGTCTCTCACATTTTTAATCACTGTATTTTAGAAACTATATTTAAAAATGCAGGGCCATTTTAAATTTTTACTATATTATTTTTGTTCAGCCTCTTTTAGAAAAACTCCAGTCGTCAATTAAAGAGGAAAACACAGGCCATGATGAAACTACAGGTAAAGCAGAAAGCAAGACATGTGATAAGAGTTCAAAGTTAGCTGATAATAACTCACAGATAGAAGAAAAATACACGAGTTATGATTCTGGAGATCTGAAAGAAGCTCATATTAATTTTGATCCAGAGGTGGTGCAGATAAAAGCTGGAAAGGCAGAAGTAAGTGACCTAGATTTGAGGAATGACAAATCTTTAATTTTAAATGTGAACACTGAAATAAATATATACCATCATGCTTATTACCTGCAGATTGACAGGCGAATATCGGCCTTTATTGAGAGGAAACAAGCAGAGATCAATGAAAATAACGTCAGGGAATTTTGCAATGTTATTGATTGTAATCAAGGTAACTATCCAGTCAGTGTTTAATCTTCCTAGCAGTTACTACTTTTTATTTTAAAATGTGTAGTTTATAGTTTAAAACAGACTTTGTTTTAAAAATAAGTCAAGTTTAATCAGTTGCATGTGTGATATAGAAATCATTGGGAGAGGTTACTTTCTTGGTATTAAAGGTTAATAGCATCTGTACTGAAAGAAGAATATTATACTTGTTTTTAAAACTTAAGTTTAAATGTGATGTCTGCTTTATGATGTTATTTTGTTGCTGACTTTTTAATAGGAACACAATTTAACTGAATTACAGTGCAGAAATGTCTTATCAGTTATATGTTGTAAGTTGAACAAAGTAATATTAAAAAAATCTTTCTAATTCATATAAATTACTAGGTAGTTAAGGTAGGAAAAATGTGAAGTATCTTAAACATTAAGTCACTGATGTATTTTTTTAAATGGGTCTTGCATTAAACAGTCAGGCTTTTGTTCCGTACAGTCACTGTCAGCTTCTGAAGACAGTCATTTTATAACCTAAGTAGTAAGATATTGAAGTTTCTCTGTATTCTTTCATTATAGTTCCAGCGTATATGAACCTAAATGTGCATAATAACATATGTGACTCGCGTAGTTTTGGATATGAAAGATCATTATAAGTTGTTATAAAATGAAAGGTTTATATGTTTTATTAAATAGAGGTGGAATGAATAAACATTCTAAAATGTTAAAATAACCTTAGAAACATTGAAGGTTACAAGCTACCATAAAAGATGCTAGATAAACATTTATTTAAGTCACTTGCTTTTTTTTTAAGTTGTAGTAAGTGAATATGCATACTAAAGAGAATGCGTATTCTAGAATTTTTGTATTTATGTTCATAATGTTAATGGAGCTGTGAGTGAACACGGACAGGAATAATATACAAATGTTACGGTACAAGTTAATATTCAGTGCTGTAAGAGTTTACAATTCAACAAATCATATAAGCCATAGACTATCAAAATAAGGAGGTTGAGAAGTGGAACAAGAATACCAAATCAGACCATGCTCCAGTAAGAGAGAAATATAGTATAAGAGGGAAACATTGAAGAAACAGCTTTAAAAAACCACTTGGGGGAAGGCCATTATGAAATAATCATTTGCTTACTGTATACACGCTTTACCCCAAAACTGGGGTGTGCGCCTTAGGGGAAATTCACCAGCATTGTGTGTATGCGCAACTTTACAGGAGGGAGTTGCCCCATCAAATACAATGAGGCTAGGCAAATGTGAAATTTGCTCAACTGGGGCGTGTGTCTTTTACATGTATAGAATGAGGACATTTAAGGTAGAAGTGGCAAAACCAATAATGTAATAAGATGTTTTAATTTACGAATGAGTACTTTGGGCAGTACAGTGTTTCACTATCAGGATGCTGTGATACCTGCAGATGCCATGTGATCCTCTTAAGGGTGCCACCCAGTATTAGCACTGTTAAGTATGGAAACACAAACACAGGATTCATAAGATAAAACCAACAGATTTCAAATAGGAATCCATAGTGTCTAAAACAGGACAAACTGACCTGTCATTGTCTTTGAATTTTTTGCAACATGAGAATTGTTCTAGTATTTTTCCTTAGTCAAAAAATGAGCAGAAACTAAGAACTTGCATTTCTGAGGGATGGGTCGAGTCTAACAAGCTTGAGAACTCTTGACTTAGGGTCACATTCTTTTTCAAAATTTTCTTAGAGAACAGCTGTGCCAGAACAGATGCAGTTTTCACACCTTACCCTGGATTTAAAAGTCATGTAAAAGGTAAGCAGTCATTTCTAATACCCATGTACTTACTTATTTTCCAGAAAGAAAAGCTCTGATTAACATTGGTGGGTGGGACAAAAGAAGATCAAATTTGGCTCAATTTGGGTGTTTTAAAAATGTGTCTTTTATAGAACATTTTAAAAAACCATGGAAACTTTTGTATTGATTTCAAGGTTAATGAAAGCAGTTTTGAATGGTTTCCCTGCAAGATTTTGGATTCAAAGACTGCTGCAATGTGCTAATGCATGAGAATCTGAAAGAGTATTTTGCTAGAAGCAAAAGCGAACTAGTCTGTTGCCATTGACAGAGATAAAAGATGTTTTTAAAGGGTGAGCAGAATAGATGTAGGCTTAAGAATTGTTTGGTTTTAATGGTCTGTGACTAATCTAGATGAAGAATTAGATTAGTTTTTTAAAATTAATTTTTTTGTTTCCCTCTTGAAATTAGAGGAAAACACAAATTCTAAGCATAGAATTGTTGTACTGCACAGCTGTACAGTTTGTGATTTATCACAGGGATTGCATCATTGTTTTAATACTCCTTTGATTTCATTTGTTGCTGAGTAGGACTCTCCTATTGAGAGGAGCCTGTCCTTGCCCAGTCTGGGTGAAAGGGCTTGTTCTCTTCTCCAACCTATTCCATTCTTTGGCTAGTGCTTTGACAGAAAAGATTTTGCACTTGCCTCTTCCGCTTCGTACTATTCTAATGGTTTTAAAGGGGTAGGAGAGACTAGATTGTAGCAGGTGGAGTTTTGTGGGACTGGCAGTCTGGCTTGTTTCCCAAGTATTTTAAGAAGGGAAAATTAAAGAAAACAGAGCAAATGGTCTTAAAGAAGAGAGATGTATAGCCAAAGTAAGTGTGTAAAATGTGCCTAATGCTGTTCAGCCACATATACAACTTGCTATTTTAAACACAGATACAAACATAACTCTTCTCTTTTCCTGAAAACTAGAATTATACCTCTTCTGTCTACTTTCTTCTCCCATTCAGAAAAAAATAAATCTCAGAAGGTACTGTCAACTAGTTTCACAGTATATTTCTAAATGTAACCAGTTCAGGCAAAACTAACTAAATTCAGATTCTGGGTTAAAAGGGAGATGGCAGAAGTGAATCTCAGACATAAGAACTGTTCTACTGAGAACTGTTGGTCAGTGTATTGAGGCAGGTAATTGCAGAGTCTCAAGTAATCTCAAATGGCACGATATTATAGGGAAGAAAACATGGCCCTTTAGTTAGCTAAAACCCAAACTGCTCAGAACCTTTTCTAGGTCAGAACCAGCACTGTGAATTGCAGTTGGAAAGGAATGAGAGTGAGCCAATGTAGATTGAGGAGTATACATGTAATAGACTTCCTGCAAGAGATGCCAGGGTAGTAGAGAGGCTGTATGCTGAGTCATCTGAAGTTTTCTGTGTGGTTTTCAGATTTATCCAAGAAGAACATGCAGCCAGAAACCCACCTAAAGGGGGCTGAGGAGTGGGTAATATTTATTAACCTTGATGCAAAGATATGTCAAAATCTTTTAGCCATGCACAGAGGGTGGAAAGGGAGAAGCCTACTGAGCACCTGGAAGCAGCTGCAGATCCAAAAATATCCCCAAATTGCTAACCCAAATAACAGAGATTGAGAGCTCCTTGCTAATACTTTTTTGATTCTCCCAGATATCCTTTCCCATTTAATCTCAAAACAGACTGGATTTGTACCTTTACCATAAGATTATGACTACTTCTTTACTCTTCTTTCTACCTACACTATCCAATCCTCATTTTTGCTTTGACATTATATCTGTATAATCAACAGGGATCCTGGTTTTCTCTGATAAAAATATTCCCATTATTTGGTTTTAAAAAAGTAACTCAAAATCCAAATTGTTCCATGATTAAAATGAAACACCATTAATATATAGATGTAGATACAGTGGTGTTTTCATGTTAATCAAAGACAAATGGGTTTTGAGTTACTTTTTTAAAACTGAAAATTGGGGATTTTTTTAAAATCGAAGAAAACCAGGATCCTTGATTAATCAAATTAGTGCCTAATGGACCAATACATTTTCACTCTAAAAAGTCTTGATATTTCACTCCTTGTAAGTGAGAGGAGAAATTGCCCTTACTACAAATAAATTGCAATGAAAGCCCTGAGTTACAGTTTTTATCCATCCCTTAATTTTAGTTGGGAAATTAATTTTATTTATCCTCCAATCTAAAATGTTGCTAGGACTTTATGACATGGGAAACTGTAATGGAATTGACTTGTTGATTAGTTTATTATTATTGATTTTAAAAAGCATTTTCATTTTGTTGTTAGTCAAATGAGAAGTTCCTGGTCTGAGAGACTGACTTGTACATTAAGTGTGTACATGAACTAATCTTGTCTCCTCATAATCTAGTTTCTAGAGTTGTAAATACCTATGGTCCTCAAACTAGATCCGAAGGAGCACATGGATCCAATAAAGCCAGTATCCCTGTTCGTGACTGTGGAAACCAGGCTGTAGAGGAAAGACTACAAAACATTGAAGCACATTTACGGTTACAAACAGGTTTATATCAGGTTTTCTAAATGCAAGATCAGTATGTTAAATTGTATGGTAACTGTTATTAATGCTGTCCAGTTGGGTGATGTTTCCAGTTTGGTCTCTAACACTGAAGGTTATGGTCTGGATCATATATAGCCTGGTAGTTAACTTATCCAGGATGTGGGAGACCTGGGTTTAATGTCTTTCCCTGCAAGGATTCAAACCCAATGTTTCCCATTTCCTAGGAGAGTGCCCTAACCAGAAGGCTATCAGTATTTTGGGTAGGAGAACTCCTCCTTTCCCTCCTCCACGCTGCAGAAAAGGCTGCAGGATTCATTGGGTCAGTCATCTGGGTGGAAGAAGAGACCTAGGTCTCAATCCTTGAAGTCCATTAAACTAGCAGCATGCTGCCTCTTGTGTTTTTCTTGTGACCCAGGGAATATTGAATGGCTGCCACTGCAGTCTGTGGAGTGCTAGATCCTATCAATCCATGTTGGGTATTCCTTGGAAAAGGATTTCAGCAGAGGAGCCTTTCTTTTTGGGTTGTATTCAGGCTTAGGTTTAGGCCTCTCAAACTGAGATGCTTCTGCGCATGTTCAGAAGTATAAGTTTCAGGTGCCTGAGGAACTTCAAGGTCATAAGCTGTGTGACTTGGAGTTGAAGCGCCCCCAGAGTTAGGTGGCAGCTAAGTCAAAGTTTCAGATTCATGATTGTTCTCTGCTCAGCACTGTTACTCGGAGCAGTTCCATCCCAGAACTGCTCTTTTCCTCCTACAGTAGAAGATGGCAGCACTAGGAGGAAGAAGATGGAAGGAGTTTTAAGTAGAAGTTGCTGAGTGGTGAGCAGAGAGCAGGCTGGAAACCAGGAAGGCAGCCAGTCACAAAATGGTCTGCATGTGCTTTAGAAGTAATAAAGTGACAAAACCATATATTTAATGCTTATTTCAACACTGCCTTGAAGGGAGGAGGCCTGGATCAACTAATGGAATCGAATTAGAGCTGGAAATGACATTAAATGTAGAGGGGAAAGCAGCAGATGGCATAAAAGCATCAGGCTACATCAGGCACTACTTCAGGTGAAACCAGATAGGCTGCCAAGATTAAACATAATCTGAAATCTACCCCTGGGCTAAAGAATTACTTCAATTTATAAACTGTCTTGCATCATAAAAGCTGAAGCCACATGTTGCCCATTTGTCTAGTTTAGGGGTAGGCAACCTTTTCTAGCTGCAGGCCAGAATGAGCCATCTTGGGTCACAGATGGGCAGGCAGGCACTAGGTCTCAGCCACGGGTGCCACTGATTCTTGTGGCAGCACAGGGAGAAGTGTCTGCTGCTGCTGCCTGTCCCTGCCACTGAAGCCCAAGGTCTGTGGGTCAGGTGCTATCTGTAGGCGGTAGGTTGCCAGCCTCTGGTCTAGTTAGTACTGCAAGATACTGTAATAAAAGGAGAGACAACAGAAGATTTTCAACCCCACCTTGTTCCTCCCCAGTATTTCTCCCTAGTACAGGCAGAGAAGTACCATTCTCATCGCCAGGCACAGGCACAGGGTGCTTTAATGGTGCTGGGTGACACTCAGGGCACTGCCACTCAGGAGTATAGGTTTCTCTGTCACCAATAGGATGCCAGTGTTCTTGTGCCAGTTCATAAAGGAGCCTTCTCATTTCTAGTAGGATGTGGGCAGATATGTGAAGAGCAGGACTGGTAAAGATAAAGTAAAATGGATAATGGAATTCTGAATTCAGTGGCCTTAAATTTTCTTTTGGCCTGTTATATGTACTACCTGAAATCTATGATGTAACATGCATTAGGAAGGTGTTAAGTTAGTTCTAGGTTTGGGGGCTTTTTGCACAGGTGTTTCAGAATCTTTTCTATGCTATAAAGAATGTCTCAAATCCTCATATCCTGAAAAAAAACACTTGTCCAAAGATGAGTGATGATTTGGAAGTTTTCCTTGGCACAGCAAGCGTTTAATTAAAAAATTCTAGCTCTGATTAGAAAGACCATTTTTTAACTTCAAATAGATGCATTTTTCCTGAGTCTGAAGGTAGCTTCAGTACCTCCACTTAGAGTCCTGCTACAAAGCAAAAGACCAACCTTAGTCTATTTTCACTGCTGCTTTCAGTAACATCACTGTCATGGTTCTGTTGTTTTAGTAAGCAGGAAGAAACAGCAATCGGTACAAGTGTTGTTGAGAAACTAATGAATGAAGTTGAGACACCCCCCCCCCCCC